AGCGCCAAGGCAATCTGACTGGCGGCAAGGGCAAGGGCAGCTCCAACGGTTCCAACAAAGGGGGCAACGCCTAGCCCCCCCTTGGGTACCGGCCTCGCGAGAATGCGGGGACGGGGTAACTGGCAACGCATGGCAGGTCACCGGGTAGCAGGCACGTCAGGCGCGTGGGGCGTCCCTGGCGCGTCATCTTTGACAGGTGCTGCGACTTCAATCAATGCCCAGTCACGCTAGACATTCGGTACTGTCGCGCACCCGATACCGGCAACTGCAGTCCCTGTACCGCAAGTACAACGTCAACCCAAGAGACTTCCCGGCGTGTCGAGTCCGGGCAGCCCTACCAGTATGGAGACGGATGATATCGGACCTTCGGGTTCTGAGCTGGATCCGGGACGGTGTCCCCATCTCATGGCAGTCCGGACCACCGAGACCGTTCCATCACAGGAATTCTGTCATGCAAGGGGAACATCGGACGGCTTGGGAAGACCAGATTCTACCACGCTACATCCGAATTGGGGCTCTCAGACCAGCATCATGCCAGGATTACGTCAGCAGAGCCTTCCTAATACCGAAATGGGACGGGGGTTATCGCTTAGTGATCGACCTCCGACATCTCAACGCACATTGTCGGGTGCCGACAACCCGTTTTGAGACACTGGCGACACTCTCCGGATGGATGGAACCGGAGAGTTGGATGATTGCTTGGGATTTCCAAGACGCCTACATGCATCTGAGACTACAATCGGACTTCATCAAGTATGTGACAATTCAAGTGAATGGCGAGTATTGGGAGGTTCCCACCCTTTCCTTCGGGTGGTGCGGGAGTCCGTTTTACTTCACAAAACTACTCCGGCCTTTAGCCACCTTCCTTAGGGCAGCATATCGTGTCCTCCCTTGAATTTCCCCTCCCTTCGCCAATTGTGGGAGGCGAACTACTTCATCAAAATCCTGCCCTATTTGGACGACTTCCTAGGGGCAGGAAGCGACAGGCGGAATTTGCGAGCCTGGGGTGTCCTAGTGAGGGCGCTCCTAAGCGACTTAGGATTGGAGATCAAAAACTCCAAATCCATCTGGGAACCAGTGACTTCGAAGGTTCACCTCGGCCTGGTTGTGGACTCATGGTGGGCCATGTTCCTTTGCCCGCCGGACTCCTTGAGAGTCCTCCAACAGTTGGCGAAGGACATCATCGTCAATAGCAACTTGAATGCACGATTGGTCACGGCTAGGAAGGTGGCCCAGTTCTGTGGCAAGGCGAACGCCTTGGCCCCGGCGATTGCCCCAGCCCAGTATTTCCTGCGCGAGCTCTTCTCCAGTCTACGGAACAAACAGAGCTGGAGCTCCCCAGTGTGCCTCAGTCGCGAGGCATTGGCGGATCTCCGTTGGTGGACGCAAGTTCCAGACAGGTGGCAGGGCAGAGCCTTTCTACGCCAACCAACGTCAGTATCGATGGCGACCGACGCCTTGGATTTTGGATGGGGCGCCGCCTTGGAGGATCCCCATTGCCTAACCTCGGCCCAGCCCCTGATAGAGCGAGGCTTCTGGATGGCGCAGGAGAGGATTTGGCATATCAACTACAAAGAGCTGGAAGCGATCCGTTTGGGGATCAAGTGTCTCTTGCGGAACTTGACCAACTGAACAGTGCATCTACAAACGGACAGCCAGACAGTCTGCTGCATTTTGGAAAAATGGCGCTCGAGGGCACAACCTCTGCACCACGAGCTACGCAAACTGTGGTGGCTGCTGGACACACATCGCATTATGGTGCAGCCCCAATGGATTTCAACAACAGAGAACGCGATTGCAGACGTGCTCAGCCGGGAGACAGACAAGGAGGACTGGCGCCTATGTAGACGTGGCCGCTCAGCTTTTTTTCTGTTATTTTCTGTCCGTATTTTTTTTCAAGACAAAAAATCCGTCCGTCACTTTTCTGTTGCTTTGCCGGGGCCGGTTTTCTGTTGCCGTTTATGCCACGTCAGCTTCCAGTTTTTTGGCTCTGGAGCTGTCCGTCAAGGGGGTGTTTGCAGCCACCAATTTCTGTAAAGATGTTTTTTTTTCCGTTGCCTTTCCTGGCATTCCGTTGCCATCCATCATGGACTTTGAGATTCTGGAAGCTTGTCGCGAATAGAGGCGTATTGAATCGCTGCCAGTACTTGGCTGGAGGCAGCACACACACAGAACACATTATCACGGCATACTATAAATCATAAGTGCTGGCCCTTCCCAGCAGCGATCGCTGCCGGTACTTGGCTGGAGGCAGCACACACACAGAACACATCATCCCGGCATACTATAAATCGCCAAATTCGCGGGCCCCTTCCCGGCGTCGCTGCCCGTTAGCAACTGAGCGGCACGGGGCACGTACTCCGGCGTACTATAAATCATAAGTGCGGGCCTTTCCCAGTAGCGATCGCTGCCGGTACTTGGCTGGAGGCAGCACACACACAGAACACATCATCATAGCATACTATAAATCATAAGTGCGGGCCCTTCCTGGCAGCGATTGCCATCGATTTTTTATGGAATTCTGTCAACCTTTGTGGTCCGGTCAGCGGTTCTGTTGCGGGTGCCTATCATCCGTAGACGGCGGCGCGAATTCTGTAACACTTGGTTTCATTCTGTAAGGTTGTGTGGATTTCTGTAGTTGTCTATGCTGACGTCAGTATGGCCCTACCCGTTTCTGTAAAACGCTTTTTTTCTCTGTGGCTCCCTCATAAATTCTGTTGATTGTACAGAATTTTAACGGAGCCAAACAAATTCTGTTGGGGACGGACAGATGGGGCCACGTCTGTGCCTATGCCCCACGTGGTTTTGGCGCCTAGATCTGCGCTGGGGCCCACACACTATCGACCGCTTCGCCAGCTGCCTCAACCGCCAAATCGAATGGTACAACTCAAGGTGGGGCGACGTAGGGTCAGAGGGCGTGGATGCATTCGCCCAGCACAACTGGCCCGAGGAGAACAATTGGTGCAATCCCCCCTGGTTTCTGCTACCTCGCGTGGTTCAGCTCCTTCATGATCTTCCGCGCGTCCAAGCCACCGTTCTCGCCCCGTATTGGCCGGGCGCGGTTTGGTACTGACCATTGAAGGCGCTTTCCAACGATTCTTGGATTCTGCCTTGATCTCCGACCCTCTTTCTACCGGGCCGGGAGGCGCAGGTGCCTCAGGGAGCAGCGCGGTGGCACGTCGAGGCTTTTCGAATAGACAAGGCACTGGCGACCCCTCACGCCATTGATCCAGCCAGGCACACTACTGCCGCTCGCCGCCTCTGGCCTCCTCGATCACGACGATGAGCAGAGCATAGTCGAAGCCCTCCTTTCCTCGAATGCTCCGTCAGGCCGCCGCTCCATATGGTCTAAGTTCGGCAAATACTGGCGCTTCTGCTCGGAGGCCAAGCGCGGGTGGAGCCCCATACCGACTGAACAGCCGATGGTCTGGGCTTACGTACAATCTCTGCGGGACAGCACCCGCATCCAAGTATAGAGCGTGCCCCAGTACATCAGCGCAATTGCCACGGTGCACCGGTGGCTGGTGTTCCCCGACCTGCGCCCCCATGACTCGGTCGTGGAGCAACTTCTCAAGTCGTGGCATCTCAAGGTCAGCCCCCTTATCTCCAAGAAGCAGGCTGTGCCACTCCCCACTTCGATTGTCCTCCAGCTGGCCGAGGAGGGGTGCCGCAGGCATGCTCCATAGGAGATCCGCGCGGCCTTGGTGGTGGTTTTCGACACAGCCTTTTTGTCCCGGGCTGATTCTTCCTTCGCGAGGGAGGTAGGCGATGTATCCGTGTTTGAGGGACCTTCTCCGGCGATCTTGTTTACAGAACGCAGATACAAGGGCAAGCAGGTCGCCAATCTATCGTTCCGGCGCCGCAGTTTTCAAACGGCAGGCATCCCTGCCTTCCCTTCCTTATTCAGACGGTGGGTGGCTACCTGCCATGCGGCGTGGCTTCAAGCCAACAGGCCAGAGTCTTCCCTTCTTTGGCAGCTGCCGGACGAGCCGGCCCCTACGGCCAGGTTTCTTGGGACTTGTTTTGATGTGGCGAGCCGGATCCATTTCAGTGACCTTTTCGGTGATGGTGTTCGTTACACCCACCACGATGTTCGTCGCGGGGGGGCCACCGCCGCTTTTGCGGTTGGCGCACCCCTCCAGCGGGTTTGCTACTGGGGTGGATGGTCTGTTTCTTCCGACAGTGTGACCAAGTATATTGACTTCACACACGTCGCCACCCCCTCCGATTTCCAAATGTTTGGCTGGCTACGAGGGACGGGGGAGCAGCTGGCTCAGCAGTTCAGCCATCTCTTTCAAGCTGCAGCTCCCTCAACCAGCAGTGCTTCCCCTGGCCCTCCTCCGCCTTCTTCACCCAGCTCCTATTTCGATTCGGGTGACGATCTATAGCCCCGTCCAGGCTCAATCTACCTTGGCTGCCCTGCTTCCCCTCCACTGTCTGGTCAAGCTCCTCCCGCCTTCGAAGGCTCGTCCTGAAGCCTGTCTACGCTTGGGGCAGGGGCTCTGGGCCCCTCATTGTCGGAAAGATGGAGGCAATTCAGATGGGAGAGGCTCAGCTGGACCAAGTTTGATTGATTGCATGCAGATGTTAGCAGGGATTGAACACTTTGTTTGTATGTCTGATGTTTGTAGACAATTTCATTTCTGGCACAGACCTTTGGTCTTTTGTGCCTGGGTGGGAGAGGACTGCAGTGTACATTTAACATCTCCACAACCGCCCTTGCGCCTTCGCTTGTATGGCGCGGGCCGCATGGCAGGAATCTGCAGCCGGGGGGGTCGGCAATCCAAAAAACGTCCCTCCCGCAGGAGCAGCCTGACCCACGGCCACCACTGGCGCCCGGATTGGCCGCCGCAGGCCCTCCCATGCCTGCATGACTAACCGACACCTGGGTTCCTTGGAAAGCGCAAAGCCCAATAGCCGGGAGCTGTGCCCGCCATCCGCCCGTCGCGCGCAGCACCCGCCGCCCCATCCCAGCACAGGGCGTCACCGGGCGAGCCGCCATGGCCGCGGCGCCGGCGCAGGGCACAGGCCTGCAGCCCAAGAAGATGTTCAACCTGGTGAACGACAAGCTGGCTGCGGGCGCCGCGAGGCTCAACGGAGGGGAGTACCAGGTGAGGAAGCGCGTGTTCTCTGTCTGTGTGTGTGCGTGCGTGTGTGCGCGGAAGGGGAAAGGGGTGGATTGCCGGCTGGAGGGCTAGAAGGGATGGGGGGCGAGGGGGGAGATCTACGCGGCTGATCTGAATCTGGTCGTTCGGGTAGGCGGACGCGAAGTTAATGGGAAAGCAGGGGGGGGGGGAGGGGCGTCTCTGGGTCCAGGTTGTGGCCCGATGTCGAGTTTGTGTGACGAGAGTGTGTAGTGGGAGGCGTGCTGAGGTGAGAGGGAAAATCTTGGGGCGGGTTGTGAACATGGGTAGTGGTGGGGTGGGTCTGAGGGACGTGTCAGGTGTTTGTCGGGATCGGCGGGGGCAGGGTTCTGATGGCGGCCGGGGCCGCGGCCGGGAGTTTCGTTGATCGCGATGGAGGGGTGCGTGGCGGCGTCATGGGGCCGCCCGGCCCACCGACGGGGCGATTTGGATCGTACGACGGGGGAGGGGCCCGGGAAGAACGCCCGGCGCGGGGCGCGGCGCACCGTGCGCGTCGCCACCCTTGGCTGCCGCTGGGGGATGCGCCCCCGCGCTGTGGGCATCGGAAGTTGTGGAATTCGATCGTGAGAAGGCGCCTGCGGACGGGGGGATAACGCCCGGCCTCGTTCGGCTCGGTGGGTTCTCGCAGCGAGGGCTGGATCCAAGAGGGGTTGGTGAGGGGGTTGGGGGGGGGAGGAGGGGGTCCGATTGGGGAGAGTCGGGGAGGGAACGATGGGGTGGGGCCCGGAAGGTTGGCGCCGCGACGCGTTTGATTGGCGCCTGGGCGCTGATCGGCGACCGTAGGCGGTGATGTTGTGAACGGTGGAGGTGACCGGATGAGCGAGTGTGAGGAGGGGAGATGCGCTTGTTCCCGCGCCGCGCTGGTGAAAATTTGGAGGGGTAGGGGCATCAAATCTCATCGACGAGGCTGGGCCCGGTGTTGGGAGTCTGAAGTCGAGCTCGGGTGCATTGTTCATTGCAGGACGTCGACATCGCGATCGTCAAGGCGACGAACCACGACGAAGTGCCGCCGAAGGAGAAGCACGTGAAAAGTGAGCTGCGCCCGTTTCGCGGCGCGCCCGGTGCAAGTTGCAAATACCTTGATGAAATTTGGCAGGACGGGGCTGCACCATGAGCGGTATATGTTGGGCGTGTGTACTTCCATGCCGTGTTGTTGCTGCTGTTGCTGAACACAATACGCGGAGCATCGACATAGTATTCAGGGTGCCGATATGCCATCAAGCTCTGTTTCCACGTGCCTCTGCTGCATAGGGACGCTTGTCTTCAATTCGGGCTGGCCAGTGCATTGCTGGGGATCACAGCTATGCCAGCAGCCTCCACGTTCTGCCGATAACACACCTGTCTCAGTACCTTTCGTCTACTATTTCTATGCCACCCTTTTGGCAAACCTCTGGCCTGCTGCTTGGCGCTCCTCAGCAACGTAGCCCTAAACTTTTCCCCAACTCTGCTGCTGCCCAAATATATTTGTCATATATATGATATCTGTCATCGCAGTCCTGCCTGTGCAGAAGCAGTGTGTCACATGATCATGAAAATGGAATCGCATGTGCTGCCACTGTGAGTACTGAGACACTGACCTGTGGCAATTGTGCAGCCCTCAAGGAAGCTGTTTCCAGCGCCCCAAGTCGAAGAAAGGTCATTTACATCGTCCATGACCTGTATGAAAGGTTGAAGACCTCAGGGGAGGACTGGCTGGTAATGTCACAACACTTTGCTGGCTAAAAACAAGCCCGGTTTGATTGCATTCGTTAATGAAAAGCAGTTCACTGCCCTTATTGGGGAATGCCACAGGGCATGGGTGCCTTTGTGAAGTTCAGGTGTCTACTTGCCACAGACAGGTTGCCCTGCCATTCACTGTGTCTTGGCTGCCTAGCTGTCAACACATCTGGTTTGTTGAATTCCCCAGATAATCGCTTTGATGTTGATCTGTTCTGGAAGGTGAATACCAAACTGCCCTTGTGGCACTGCAAACAACAGGATACCTGTGCAGATCTCCCAAGTGAATGGCCATGTGAACAACATCCACGTGAACAGCAGGCGCATTTGTCCAATTCATTTGTCCGTTTGTGTCATGCTGCAGGTGTTGCAGTCAATGGCAGTCTTGGGAAATGGTCCTGCTGTGAAGCTGTGTAGAATTTGATGGATTTGGTGGTTGTGTTGCAGCTAAAGCTGTGGCAACACAATACGCAAACTGTCCCAGCACACTTGAAGCTGAACATAGCCAGCTCTTATGTTATATAGATATGACTACTGCTGCTGGCGGTGCTGCCACTCATCTGTTCATGCTGCTCTAACATACACACTCAAGACACTTGTGCATCATCAGCATCATAGCTTGGTACACATTCTCAACACCTGATTTCATCACCTATATGCAAGGACTACGATATGTCGGCTGTTGTTGAGTCGTTGTTGACTTAAGGAAGACAAGCCTTGGCTGTCTTGGCCTGCGAGTTGCACTCATTGTATCATACATATTGCATCTTTTCCATTTTGGGAGCATTGTGTCAGACATAAACAGACCCCACACAGTTCGAGTGGTGCATGTGAGCCCCGCAGCTGGCACTTGCACTGACTGTGGCTGTTGTTGCCCTTCTGCCTGCAGGTGGTGATGAAGACCTTGATGGTGTACCACAGACTTATGAAGGCAGACAACCAGTGCAGCTTCAAAATGGAGGTGAGCCGACTACCCACAGCTCAAGGGACACAAGACAGCCCCATTGGTCCAGCCTGCCTGATCCCTAGGCGCAGAGGCCTGCCAAGGCCTGCAAACATGGCAGTGTCTGGCATCCAGTTGCTGTCTTGTTCATATTGCTGAATTTGCCAGCCCTTTATTAGTCAGTGCACACAAAATCAGAATTTCTAATAGCGAGTACAATTTGAGTAAAAGGGCTGTATTCGTTCAGATAATCACAAGGGAGGGGATAGTGGGAGAAAATGGGGTGGGAGGCCCAGGAAATTGGCCCTGTTCCAAGGTGTGGTTCTTATGTGCTACCCTCCATGCTGTAAGAATGATTACACATACACTGGGAAAGGGGAGTGGGGTGCAGTATCACAGGACACCCTGCCTTGTTGCACAGTTGGAAAGGGTTTGGGAGGAAAGGCTCTCTTAGCGATGTGCCCTGTGCTGCCTTGCATTGCCTTGAACGTGTTTGGGTAGTGATTGCACTGGCTTTGGCGCATGCGTTCAAACCAGAGTAATGTGGTCCTTGGCCATGCCAACGCTGTGGAAACTTTTACACTTCAACATGCAAAGGCTATTCTTGCCACATGAAGCAACATCTGTAGCTGTGGCTACCGTTGCATTTCGCATTCAGGCAGGCACGTTCTGAGCAACAGGGCTTTTGTTGGTAGAGGGGAATTAACTAATCAGTTGTGAAGAGCCATGGCAGATAGATTCCTTGCAAATCGTGGGCAGCAACATATGCAAAAGGAGATGCATTCACTGTTCGTCACCATCCCATTCCCTGTCCCATTTACTGTCCAGGTCACTGTTCCAACACACAAAATCTGCAGGCATGTCGGGCTGCGTAGCAGTGCTCTCAGCAACCTGAGCAGTGTGTGCTTGTTCCTAGATGTGCAAGTACAAGGACAAGAGGAAGCTGAACACCTTTCTCCGTCTGGACAATTTCAGTGATAATTCCAAAAAGGAAACATGGGACTACTCGGCTTGGGTGCGTGCCTACTCCATCTACCTGGATACCCGCCTAGAGATTTACAGAACTGTGTCTTTCGACCTGGAGCGCGATATTGGAGGTGTGGTACCTTTGGCCCCTCTGATGGCCTCCCTTCTGGCTCCCTATTGATGCACATGTTTGTGTTCTTTTCGCCATCCTTTTTGCTTGTTGTCATCTTTTTCTTGTCTATCTTCTTTTCCATGCATGGTACTTGGCTTGTTTCAAATTCAGTACAATGGCCCACATTGAGGACAAACAGTCAGTAAGGCTATTTCAAATAGATCAAATGGCATTGTGGAACGTAAAGTACTGGAAGCATGTGGCAACATGCAGCGTAGCAGCCACTAACCAAATATTCTGCTTGTCGCTGAGCAATGTCTCCAGGCCAGGCAGTGGTGTCATAGTGGTGGCAATTTTCTTTATCCATTACAGCATTGTCTTCAACACTAGGTCTATTGCCCATTGGCAATTTATGCCAAATACTGTGAGTTGCATTGATCAATATATAAAGTGGTGACCTGTGTTTAGATCATCATGACCAGAGCACAACTAAGCAATTTGTTTTCTAGTTTTAGGGCCTTTTATTTGCATACTGATTGAATGCCATTATGAGTCCCTCAGATGGCATGTGCAGCCTTGCATCAGCAGAGGTCCATCTTAAGGACAAATCGTCAATAGTCCCGGTTGAAGAATGTGGTTTGCGCATGGTGGTCATTATGAGGGCCACCTTTTTGTATGCCTTCTGGAATGTGTGACACTGCCTCATGTGCTGTCTGCATGATTTGCTCTTGATGAAGCCTGTGTTTCGGGGAGGATGGTTAAAATCTACATTGATGAGCATTTTCCTCAGTGAAGAACACTGTCCTTGCGCCCATAAGAAAACTGCTGTCAAGTTCTGTATCCATGTCGTGCCAACAGTGTGCACGAATGACTTGCACAGGCTAACCTGACCAATAGCTGACTGCTGTTGTTCCCAAATGAAAGGAACTCTGGATCTTGGAGTGGGAGGGGTAATGCATTACATGCTTGTTGGATGGATAGGCTTGCAGTTGTGTTCATTTCTGCTTGCCAGCATGCAGGCCTAGTATTGCTGTTTGATGGCCATCCACTTGGTGGAAAATCTCAATGATAACGTGCCTCAAGCACACACAACGCTGCCGTGGGACCAAATAGTCAACATGAGGCACTGTGCATAACCACGAGTGCTGTGCTCCCAATTGTTTCTGAGAACTTCCAGCGAGTTTGGGGTCCATCTAGCCTAAAGCCTCGGCTTGGGGCCACAGCAGCATTTTGGATTGCAATTTGGCAGTGATATATTCTGTGTCTCTGTCAAGTGCTGGCAATTGACCACTACCTGACGCAGGGCGATTGGAAAGCTGCAAAGCACTTGAAGAACAATGCTGCAGCTCAAATCACATCCTGGAAACAATTTTTATTTTCATGTACCCAAGTAACAACAACTCATTGCAGAATTCTATTTGATGGCTGCATTACAAGCTCAGACATCCTTTTCATGGCTGCACAATGATTGTTGCCTCTCCATATCTCGATTATTGTCCTGCGAAATCACCAACACTAATGGCTCCGTTTTCCTTGGTTGTCACTGTTGGTGGTGTGTCAGTGGTGTACATCCTTGTTGTATGGTTTACGTCTGATTTCCGTTCATTGCTGTTCTAATTTGCTGTTGATTCTGAGATTGTTTGCTCCTGCCTTCTCCAGCTGGAGAAACCAAGCTGAAGACCGCAGGGTCTCGTGAGCTCCTTGACGTGCTGCCACGGCTGCAGCAGCTGATGCAGAGGGTGCTAGGTTGTGTGCCGGAGGGGGCTGCAGCCGTTAACTCTGTCGTGATGGTGAGGAACAGGGAAAGGGGGATAACATGCTGAGGAATGGAATGGGAAATGGGTGGGGAAGCAAATGGGGACTATGCAAACACTCTGGTGCATCAGTGGCATGCAACGCTGCATGATGCAAGGGCAGTATTTGCCCTTGAAGTGCAGATGCAATTGGTTGTTTGATTACTGACTACCAATGCTATTAAGTCGCGTACCTGGGAGCATAATCTTGAGCACAGAGGGGACCTTTTGGATGTACCACCTGATGAGAAAATGTTTCTGGCAAAACTGTGATGTCGGCACTTGCAGAATACAGAAACCATTGGCAGCATATGCCTGGATGGGGATGCCATGGAGCAGTGTTGTGTTGTACATGAAGTTGCAGGTGCCCCAAAACAAAGCAATATTTTAACGTTCCTTGCTTCCCCCACCCTCCCTTTCTTCCCCCTGCATCATACTCACAACAAGAACAGTGGATGAGTGCCACACTGTACTGTTGCAGGGTTTTAACTGTCTTTGGTTATACTGCGATCAGTGTGGTTCACACATCAATAAGATCTTATTAGCCATCAAATCTTTGCCCATATGCATGAATAGGATTGACGACTGGTTTTGGGTGGACTCGTAGGAGGCCTTGAAATGGGTCCTGAGCGAGTGCTTCCGGCTGTACCGCGCCATCTCTGAGGGCGTTATCAACCTGGCGGACCACTTCTTCGAGATGGACCGTGTGGATGCGCGCAAGGCGCTGGACATCTATCGTGAGGCCATAAACAGCACTGACAGGCTGCAAGAGTACTTTGCAAAGATCCAGAACATGGCCGCAGGCAAGGCACTGCAGTTCCCGCAGCTCATGCCACCCCCAGAGGACTTTTTGGATCAGATGGAGGCGTACGCAAAAGGGGCTCCAGGACCAGCGGGAAAAGGTGGAGAGAACAAGGGGGTAAGCCACAGAGTATCTTCACCCTGCATGAATTTAGGCCGCAAAACGATGGAATAGTGCAAAATGAGCCAGGCGGTCTTGAGAGAATGCGTGCTGCATGGGCATATTGACAAGTTAAGTGCAAGGGAGGGAAGGATAGTACGTTTTGGTTTTGATTGCCTGCATGGTTGGGGTAGCAATGACAGTGGCAACCCTCAAGGTGACGTGCAGAGATATCTAGCGAAGGTTGTGATGTTTGTATTGGGTACAGATTCTGCACCTCAACTACGTCATTCGAAATCTTGTTTGATTGCGGTTGTCAGACTGCGGCACAGTCATTGGCTGTTGCTTACTATATTAGATTGGTCGCCGCCCACATCCAAAAAGTGTTCATCCTGAATTTCGTTCAGAATGTTGTCTCGTGTGAAGGTGGACCTGCATCATGAGCACACGTTTCCAAATGCTGTTTTCTGTTCTGATTTACTCTGCTTCCCAGTGGGTTGAATGGAATGGCTGCACTCTCGTAGCCCCTGTCCTCTCTTTTGGCACTTTACTCAACAGTTTGCCATCTGGTTGCACTTTAAGGCAGATGTCTGTGAGTGGCTAGTAATTCATGCACGAATGAAGACAGAAAGGACCATCACCTTGTGTGTGTATTGGTAGCACCTCATCATGTTTGGAGAACGAGAAATTGAAGGCAGTGTTGACTTTGCTGCAGACTGTTGTGACAAGGATCGGCACACTGATCCACCGTCGCGAAGATGCTAACTCCACACCACTGACTGTAACGACCACCGATAACGGCAACAGCGCTGAACCTGCAGCTGTGTCAGCACCAGCGGCAGCAGACGATGACCTGCTGGGCTTTGGAGACCTCTCGATTGACAGCACCCCAGCACCGCAGGTGAGGAAATGCGGTCAACAAATGGCTCCTATTGGACTTGGTCTGTTCCTCCGCTGCGCTAATTTTCCAGCACAGCTGGGAGTGCTGGCTCCTGGCAGCACTTGCATCCATTGTCTCCCACGAAAACTGCAAGCTGCAGTATTGAGTAACTCCACATCTGCAAAGGCACTACTGGCAGAGGACAGAGTGCCAGGTACACCTGCAGTGTAACGTTTCTGTGTGATGTGCTATTGAACTCAGTACAGAACAGACGAGTCCATGTTGCATTCTGCAGAACTTGAAGATTTGAGTTCCATCCCCCTTCAGGTGTTTTGTTGTGCATGACTGGCTGGTCCAGCCAAACTGATGGTTTCAGGAAGGCCTCAGGGACAGAACTTGGGACCGAACTTGGGACCCACAACACCATGTGCCGCCATAGCCACAGCCCTACCGTTGTGGGAGTACCCCCTGTGTGCTTGGAGCTTTGTGCACACCCCTCACACAAGCACTGTCCCAGCATGTGACAGGGGATGAGGTGGTTATCCATTGTCTATTCTCCAGTTGCCTGTTTTCTGCTCGGACTCCATGGCTTCCACCCATCGGTGTCTCGACCCATCTCTTGTTTATCTGTTGTCCATCAGCATTCCAAGCCACACGTCAAGGAGGGCACTTGGGTTCAATTGTCTGTGGGAATCGCCTTCCCACACCCTGACAGTCACCCTGGCCCGTCGCCCCTCTGCTGTCCAACACACTGTTGCTTTGGTTGGGATCGCCTTCCTGCCCCCTGACAGTCCCCACGTGCCCCCTGCAGGCTGCCGTCCCAGCCACTGCGGCCTCTGACCCCTTTGGCGACTCCGCCTTCGACGCCCCGCTGCCAGCCGCCCCCAAGGTCTCTGTCCGCGAGCTCCCGACCTCCTTGGCTGCCCCTGCCGACCCCTTCGCGGTCCCCGCCCCACCCAGTGCCTCCCCGTCCCCAAGTCCCACCAACCTGCTGGATGACTGGGGCGTCACCAACTTCCAGTCTGCTGAGCCCGCCCCTGCCCCTGCCCAAGGGATGCCTGGCGACCCCTTCGCTGACCTGGCATCCCCAATGCCATCCCCAATCCCATCCCCGATGCCATCGCCAGGCGCTTTCCCTCCCGCGGCTCAGGGCTTTGGATTTGAGGAGCCAGCTTTCCCGCCGCCGGCGCCGGCCATGCAAGCGGCATTCCCGGCACCCTCTGGGGGAGGCAATCCATTTGCAATGGGCGGTGGGATGCCTCCCACAGGGTACCCTGGTGGGGGGGCCCAGCCGGTTATGCAGGCAACGCAGGCAGGGGGCCAGAGGTCGGTGCCTCAGCAGGGTTACCAGCATCGCGTGAGCGACCCGTTCGGAGACATGCTGTCAGAGATGCTCCCTGCCAAGTAAGTGTCCCCAGGGGGGAGGGCAGATCCACAGGCCTTAGAGTTCCCGACCTTTCTTTGAAGGGGAAATGGTTGGGGGGAGGGTTGTGGGTCTGGGCAAGAGCGGCCCGGTCCGGTCGACTTCATCACCCTCTGCGTGCCCTTGAACATGGGCAAAGAGCAAGCGGGCTGCAGAGATGGAGAGTGGAGGAGTGGTTTGGGCGGTTGTTGCTGAGTCTTGTAGTACCTGGCTGGGCGTTGCAGAACTAAACGACAGGACACAGTCCATCCCTGGGCTTGTGTGGGCTTGTGCGGGCTTGTGCTTGGTCTATTTGCTAGCGATTGGCAGAGAGCCAAACAACAAAGCTGAATGCTGGATCCGTGCACCCCATTGCTTCCCTCTTGTAAATGTGCAAAGTGCAACATCTGCAGATTGCTCAAGAGGGGAAGAAGCCGCACAAAGGAATGGCAATACACATTCAAGCCATGTTTTGCTTTAACTGCCATTGGAGAACAGTTTTGGAATGAGAACAAAAACACAGTTATCAGCGCACTGGGAACCACTAAGCATCAAGGGCAAAATCTGCACAAATTTTGGCATGGTTGGCAAGGAAGCTTCCTGCCACGATGCTCTTCGACTGCCTGCAGATATCAGAGGCATTTGGCCGTAATATTTTGCACGTGTTGCCACACTTTGAGCCCTCCTGTTCAGGTTGAAGCAACCCTCAACAATGCGTTTGGAGAAAAAAATACAATGGTTTACTTGTTTTTCTTCCGTTTGTACAATCATTGCAGTGCACTACTTGATCGTGGTCTACTCTTGTACACACCAGGGCGAAATTTGTGCAGGCTGCTGACCCTTGGCGGTGCTCATGCGATGCAGGCCTGCCTCTCCAGCCCCTGGTCTTCCAATGACGGGTAACAAAATGCCAGCAATGTCTGCCACTGCTGGATGGACACAACCTGCTCCTCAGGCTCAGGCACAGCCCATCGCTGGAAATCCGTTTGGAATGCCTCCTGCGGGTGAGCAGGAAATGGAGATGAGCTACACTTGATGTCATAGCAAAATTGTGCAGGCCACAAAGCATGTTGTACCTGGAGAGCATGCATGATAAACTGGAAATGTATCAGGGTTGCGTACAGGACCACGCATGTTAGGGAAGAAAGATTGGAGTTTAGTTCCAAACTTTATGCACCTGTGAATGCCCTGGCCACTCTTGTTCTGTTGTGAGATCTGCAGGGCATTGCAACCTTCAGGCACTAAAAAGCGATGTACAGCCCCAGATTGCAGGAGTTTGCAGTGATTAGCACATGCCATCTGAACAAAGCATGGACGAAAATAGCACAGATCAGGGCAAGCCAGCACAAGTCAGGGCTGGATCTGGGGTTGAGGGGGAAGGAGGGGAGTGAGTGGGGAGAGACTTGTCAATGAAGATTGTTAAATTTGAACCAGATATTATGGACAGCATACGATCGTATTTGCGGGGAGGGAGATGTCAATCGCATTGCATCCCAGGTTTCCTACCGACTCCATGTGTTGACATGTCTTTCATCAACAAGCAATGCACTGCTCCAAGGGCTCTGTGTACTAGGTGCCTGTTACTTTGAATCACCAGCTGACTGTGGTGTGTGTTGCTGGCAGCTGCACCGGCACCAACAACTGGGAACCCATTCGGTGAGAATGCATTTGGCGACAGTGCTTGGTGAGTCATCAGTAACTGGAACTGGGCATGAGGGTTGCAGTGGCCAAGGGGAGCATTTCCAGCCACAGCAGATCTCCAGCTTGTCAGGCCACAGAGTCCCTATGCCACATTACATTGTCTCTTTGGGTGGCTATCAGTTGTTGTGGCAGATGGTGCTATTGTGGGTGGGATTGGGGTGGGGCAGGTGCGGCCCTTGTGGAAATCTTGTAGTGTTGATCGGGATTCTGGGCTACCTGCTGGATGGGGTGGCAGGAGCCCAGGTGCAGCCGGCAGAGAGGCACGGGATCAGGCAACAGCGAGGGATTGGATTCTTACTTACCAGGTGAAGCGCCAAAGAATAGGGTGCTTGCCTGGCCATTCTCGGCGAGACATGGTTGGGCACATGGACTTGTGATTGCACTGCGCAGTTGTGTGGCTGTGCCTGGGTAGGGAACTGGCCCCTTCAACTTGTACTTGTGGTAGGCTGACTTCACCTTGCTCAGTGGTGGAATGGCATGCCCAGGGAGGGGAGAGGTGCAAGGGGAGTGTTGAGTTTGGCAGAATGAGTTTGGGGGCAGGGTTGAGGTGTGGGGTAGGGGGGCCAGCTGCTGTGCTTGGCGACGGCGCCCTGCCCTGATCGGTTTGCTTCGGGGGTCTGTGGGTGCTACGCCTGGAGATAAGCCAGCGAGCGCACATAACTGGCAGCCTGTGAGGCACCATGAGGCTGCGGGAATTGACCGACGTGGTGGTTGTGACCGGCCGAACGGCATGTGCGTGAACCTGTGCCACATTCTGTGCAGGGGCCTGTCAATGCCCCGAGGCGCGGATTGCATCGCGGTGGCCGAGTGTGCGTGGCGCCCTGGCAGCAGAGATGAAATGGTCGGGCGTGCGGAGACGCCGAATAATGAAACGTTTGAGCCAGTGGCGTGGCGATCTGCTCGACAGTGGTCGACATTCCGCCGGTGGTGGGATGGCCCTGCCGCTGGTGGGACAGCAACAGTGCATGCAGCAATTGCTGAAACTTGCAGCAGGTGTTGCGGGTGCTGTAGCGTATAGTTAGTGTGCAGAGATACTTTGCTGCAAGCCTTCAGCTGAGCATGTATGTGTCAATCGGATGCCACCGTGCGTCGCGCACTCCCGCCAGGATATTGGCTGTCGACAACACAGCGGTAGAGGGAGTTGCAGTGTGCCCCACTGCATGAATTGCGCCACCCATGCTGATGGCGTGCATGGCTTGCCCTTCAGTCAGCACCGCGAGCTCTTTGCCAAGCTGCCTGTTGTGCGCCTGAAGAGTTCCGCTCAGCGCACCGCACCCCACTATGGCTCACAGCTTTCGACATTGGTTACCAATGATTAGTATTGAGTCGGCTCATGTTGGTGGCCTGCGTAGACGTGAATGGGACCAAAGAGCCCCGGCAGATGAGCTGCAGATTGGCTAGCAAAGGTCGGTGCTAGCTGCTCATTTCCCGGCTATTCGACCCGTAATGTACGCTGCCGACATAGAATCCCACCAAGCCTTTTATCCCGTAGTGTGATGTAACGTATATGGGATTAACTATCTTGTTAAGGGGTTTCCGCCCAGGGTGACGAGGGGCGGGTGCGCTGGCCCAGTCAGGCCAGCGCTGCTTCAGTACACCGTTTTTGACGGCCCCTTGGGGGTTTCTGTCCCCCTGTACCTTGGGTCAGTGGCCAGTTCGGCGCGTTCAAGGAGAGCCAGTGGTTTTTGGCGCCCTTGGGAGCGGCGGGCTTTGGCGGGCGCGAGCGGGGAGGCTACTTAGGCTCACCCCTCGGTCCCCACCTTATCTTGTTTCGCTTCGCGCCAACTCTTTGGCACAACCCGGACCCACTGAGTGGGTCTCGACCTCCGGCTCTTTGCCGAGTTGTTGCCTATGAACCCGTCCCCTGCGGAGCAGTGGTGCCGGGAACAAGCTCGCCGGTTCAACAACCGTATTCCGAGCTCCGCTATCGAAGCCTGCTGGTTGCCCGACCCGGCGCTACTCCCCCAGTCCGTCAACAACCCGGTCGCCCGACCGGTGGGCGCCCGTTCGCCGTACTGGTTCGACGTCCGCGACACCGCCGAGGGGAGTGCGGTCGCCACCTCTTTGGGCGCCAACTCCGGGTACTTCCAGGAGTACGCGGGCTGGGCTCCTCCGGTCTCTTGGCTGTTCGACACGACCGCGGCCTTTGTGGAGGTGGCCGCCCATCCCGATCTCCCGGCGTCCGTACGGGAATTCCTCCTCCCCTACCTTTACTCGTACGTGGAGGTCACCGAAGCTCTCCACGACCAGCTCTCCTTGCAGCGCATCCACGCCAAGCACAAGGGCTCGGGCCTGGAGGGATCGTGGCGGGCCATTCAGGTGGAGATCCGCCTTGCCGACCGCGGTCTGCGCTTCGGCACCGCTCGCGTCGACGGGACCATCGAGCGCATGCGCAAGGAGCTTCTGACGCAAGAATTGAAGCACGCCACCAAGACCGCGGCCGCCAAGAAGTCTACCTCCCCCCCGTCGACCTCGGCCCCCTCGACCGGCCCCAAGGCTCACAAGGGATCTCGCCCTCCGGGCCCCTCCCCCAAGCCGGCTCCGTGAAGGCCTTCCCGTACAATCGAGTCCGCGGACGCCTTTCGGCGTGGCGTCGCATCGGCGCCCCCTCCCGTATCCTCCAATGGATCCATTCAGGGACTCCGCTCATGTGGGGCCCGCGTGGACCGCCGGCGCCTTTCGACGAGGGCTCCTACCCGCTCCGCTCCCCGGAGGAACGGACGGCATGGCAATCTCTCCGAGCGGACTATCTCTCTTCGGGCGCGATCACCAAGGTGGAGCCGGGCCCCACTTCGCGCATCTCTCGGGCCTTCCTGGTGGAGAAGGGGCGAGAGGATGGAGTCATGAAGTACCGCCTTTGCATCGATCTGCGACGGGTCAACCGCCACCTTCGCAAGGTGGGCCTTCGGTACGAGAAATTACGTGATTTTGGTCACTTACTCCGCCGGGGTGACTCATTGGTTGGATTCGATATAAAGGATGCTTATCATCACCTGCGCGTGTGTCGGGCGGAGGAACGTTTCCTCCAATTTCGCATGGGTGACGAAGTCTTTGCTTGTCGTGCTCTTCCGTTTGGGCTTTCTCTAGCCCCTTTCTTTTTCACACAATTTATGCTTGTAGTGGGCCGTTTCTTGAGGTCCCCGGGCAGCTGCACGAAGGCCGCTCATCCTTTCCGTTTTGGGTGTTTAGCGGGGGATGATGCAATCGCTAGTTACTTTCAGATTTACACCAAGGAATCACCAGCCATTTTGCTGGCGTACCTTGATGATTTTTTGGCGGCTATGCATGATGCCGCCCGTTT